CCACACTTAGGGTATTTTGCCAGAATAATAGCTTGAGTTGTCAAAAAGCTATGCTCTAAGCTATTCCGAGCTGATTTATTCTCTTGTTTTGATCTTGGGCTTCCTCTTCTATTCCCTTATCAATAACTACACATCCCTGGACAGAAGACCAAGCATTTAATCAGCAGCCTTGGGCTATACACACGTCTGAGGGGCAACCACAGTAACATGAGAGGTCTCACCAATGCACGGAGATATCAGATCTGATCCTGGAGTGTTTACAGCTTGAAAAAAAAGACAGCCATGGCTGGTCCCTGCAGGAGGAAGAGGAACAGCCTCTGCACTTTCCTGACCCAGGGCTAGGTGCTTCCAGACCACAAAGGATTATTCGCCTTCTAGGTTTAGCACCACCACATGTCACGTCTTCATCCTGCGCTCCAGGCCTCTGCTTCTCAAGGGGCAGGGGGTGTATCAGGGAATCATCTGCTTGCAGGGCTCAGGGGGGACTGGCAAGAGGCAGGAAAGATACTCCACACTTTGTAGGAGCTGCAAATACAGACAGTCCTGTTGGGGCTACTGAAAACGTGCAGGGGAACAAGGACTGGTTTTCTTCAGTAAGGTCACAGTGTGCTTTTCAGTCAGAAATGGTTTTGCACTTGGCAAGAAAACCACATGGCAGAGTTGCAACCAGCCCCTTCCTTCGCCTAGCACCGGTCTTTTTTCCAGAAAAGCTACACGTATAAGCACTCTTAAAGCAATGCCAAAACGTGTCTCCCAACCTCTTTGCCAAGGAGGAGACAATCCCTTGCCCTCTACCCACCCCTTGTTACCCACAGGAGGTAGCCACAAAGAGCACTGCCTGCTTGCAGCTGCTCCCGCCTTGGCTCCCCAGGGATTTCTCAGGGTATTGAGGTGCGGAGCTGGGTGACCAAGCACCCTGCAATGTCCAGTTTCCTGCTGCCCTCACCTCCTGGCAGCCACTCTCCTGGGCTGTGGTCTCCCTTCCCGTGCAATGCAGGCGCTGAACTGATATGGGGAACTGGATCTTCCTTCCACATCCCAGAATATTGTGCCCACTTTTCATTTTGCATTCATCAGCTCTGAGGAATTAGGTGGATGGGGTATTCCAAAATACCCCATCTGAAATACCCCAGTCTGATTCCCAAAAGAGGCTTGGATTTTGCAGGGGAAATATCAAGCCCCTGCAACAGCGTGCACAACAGGAAAATTGCAGAGAGCTGCCCAGCGAAGCCCTTGGTCTGCAGATGATCTCCAACACGGGTATAGGTGGCGAGCAGTGACAGTTTTGTCCATGGAAATCCAACCATTCAGTCCTAGTGGAGCAACCAAAACTTGCCACCCCAAAAGCTCAGTTGTTTCAGTTCCTTTCACCAGAGCTCTTCCTGAAGCAGTTGTGACAAAGCAGCAAGGCTCAAGCCAAGCTCAGCTGAGGTTTCCACACAAGATATTTGAAAGACTATAGCTATCCATATAGAAAATGCCCCTTTCAAGCAGCACTGATGGGGACAAATCCCATGCCGGCCCAAGAGAAGCTGCTCAACAGTGACTAACCTGGCTCTTTGGCAGTGGTTTGTTACGGCCTTTTCCATTAATCACTAGTTGGCAGCTACAGCTAGTCTCCATGCAGCCAGCCTGCCCAGAGCTTCATCATAACATTTGTACAGGAGTGTGTATTTCAGTAGAGGAAGGCGAAACACAAAAGGCAGCTCCTGCCAAAGCCTACACTATCAGCTTGGTGGCTGGGGCACATGCAGGGAGATCTTTGTCTCCTCCAAGCATTGTTTTCTGAGGAGACCTGAGGAGGATGTTAGACAAGAAGTGGAAAGGCAGCATGACAGGAAGGATCAAGAGGCAAAAGGTCAAGGGGGAACTGACAACCCGAGGCCCATAGGCAAAGGAATCAGCCATATGCTGCTGGCAGCATCCAAACTGAGGTGGCAGCCACCCTCAGGGTGAGCGTGGCCGCACAGCCCCCACCTGGAGACCCCCCAAGGAGTTTCAACATAAAGGTATTTATATGGGGGAACCCACATGAACTTCATGATTTCCCACAACAGACTGGGGTCCCCACTGGCATCAGGAAGATCTGAGCACTGGAGTCCCGCCTGACTTTCCCTCCGAGACCACCAAAACAAAGCCATCTCCTTTCAGCCCATCTGATTTCAAATTCACAACTAGACAACAAGGTGTCAAATTGAAACTACCAACACTTGGCCAGGCAATTGTGATCATCTTCAGACCCAGTGTCCCCGGAGAAGGCATGTTTCAGAAAGTATTTAGACCTCAAAAAGCCATGGATGCAGATGGCATTGCTAATGCAAACATCCCATAGGTGGCTGAGGGCGTTACTGGAGAAGTTCTGGCAAGGATAAATGCTCTGGAGGGCTTTGTTGGCCCTTTGAAAAAGGCTCTACTGGAGCTCAGGGAAAGATTCTTCTCCAGGAGTCTGACAAGAGCACAGTCTCCAGAGGGTTTCCATTAAGATCATCCTGCAGACACTGGGGTCACAGCTACCCAAGACCGTCTTCCTTGTTTTGGACAACTTGCCCCAGGTAGTGCTACCTGCTATGTCCAGTAAATGGACCTCCTAAGACCAGGAGTCAGGAGATAGAAGGAAAGATGAAGTCTGTCAGGGGAGAGGCAGTCGAAAAACCAGAGCCATCTCTAGATCGTCCGTCCCCAGGTTTCTCTTCCTGTGGCTGAAAACAGCCAATAGGACGGCTGAAGGTGTGATGGTCCATTTGGAGTCTTTTGTAGCCTTGCATTTTGATGATGATTTTCAAGGCACATTTTCTAAAGAACTGTAACTCCCAGCAGAAAATCTTCCCGTTTCACTGCAGCTGCCTTGCTTTAGCTCTCCTGCAGCCAGGGACGGTAACTGCACCGATGGGTCCCTGCAGGCATTTGAGGGCCAAAGGCCAGATTCTACTGCTCAAACCCAGATGCCTGCACTGCAGCCATCCCAGGCACTTTCTCCCAGAGGTGAGGCAAACCCCAGGGTTACAACAGATGGCCTCCAGCAAGCAGCTTCCCAGGTGCAAAAGCTCAGTTTGGAGCTGAACACCTACAGCCAGCTTGCCATGAGAGAAGCTCTGGAGGCCCTCAGGCAGAGTGCCAATAAAGACCCTAGCCCAAGGGAAACTCCCCTGCTGCCTGAGATCTCCAGAGACAAAGGTGGGGAAAGGCAAGTGGTCAAAGTTCAGCAAAAGCCTTGTCAGCAAAACCAGGCAGAAAGCACCTCAGAGCTGCTGCTGGGAAGCAGCAGTCAGAAAATCCCTGATGTGGAAACAGAGGTGCCAGAGGGAACAGAAAGGCCAGCAAAGGAGTACAGAGAAGCTGACCTCAGGGAAATTTCTCATCAGTGAGTGCCCCTGGGACAGGTCTGGGCTCAGGGAAGAGGCTATAACTGGAAAACCAAAGGCCACCTTGTCTTTCTTCAACTCTCCTTTAGTCGTCCAAGTAGGGTAGTCCCCTAGAAGCAAGCTCTCTGGGGACCGGCTGCAGACCTCTTCCTCTGGAGAGTCACAGCCCCAAGTGGGGGCTGCAGCAGAGTGGGAGAGCATTCCCCAAGCATTCACCATCAATGGCAGGCACCTCTCCTCCCTCCCACAGGAGGGCAAAGATGAGTGCTTGACTTGGACCTTCTGCCCATCTAAAGACCCAGAGAGCAGGAAGCCACCAGCAGAAGGCTTCCCCGGGGGAGGTATCCCAGGGAGCTTTCCCAGAGCTGATGCTCCCAGGCCAGGGACACTGAGGACACATTGCAGCAGCCCCCTCCGCCCCCACCTCTCACTGCTCCCTGTGCAGACTGGGAGCTCTTTCTCTCCCTCCTGGCCCTGGTACCCACAGGCCATGATGAACAGACTGTTCCTGGCGTTGCCCATCTCAGTATCTCTAAGCACAGCTGAAACCAGGGGTATATGTCTCCTTGTACAATACAGACAGGAGAGACACCCCACCGTGTGTGTACTATCCAGTCACTTGCCAGGTGTGTCACATCACATCAGACTATGACCACCACTTTCCTGTCTGCTTCTTCAGACTCTTCCCAACTTCACACCTGTGCTCAGGCCCCGCTTTGTGCTGGCCAAGGGCAGTGTATCAGCATGCAGCTAGTCCTGACGCAAGAAACCACGGATCTGGCTCTGTTTGCAGAGGCAACCTACTCCTTGCACCAGGTTCAGGACATGGAGGACACTGAGTCAGAGATCCTTCTCAGCAGAGACGCCTGCTTAGCCTAAGCAGTGATCAGTTACCTTCCTTGAGAGAATCCATTTCCCACATAAGCATTGGCCTGGGCAAAATTCCCAGCAAATGAGTTCTTCTTTTAACAAACACTGTGCCTGTGCCTGCACATCACCCCCAGCTTCCTTGGCACAGCGACAGAGATTCATGTTCTAAAACACTCTCCAGAAGACAGGACTGCATGGGAAAATGTGCTCCAGGGCCGGCCAGGTATGTCTGAAAGCCATCTCAAACCCTGGCATGGGGGCACATGAGATGATCCCAACCTGTTCACACCTGGAGCCATAGCTGCTCTTGACTCGTCCACAACCGCTTGGGACGCATCAAGAAGCCCCACTGGGTCCTCAACTGGGATCACCCGTTGTCTCCCACTGCCTGGAGGGTCTCTGCAAAGAGGTAACGCAGCAGCCAAAAGGCTTGAAATGGTCACCTCCTTCTAGGACCAGGGGCAGATAGAAAAGATTCAGAGAAGAGAGGCCCACATGCATAACGCTGTGTATGACCTGGTGCTGACCAACATAAGGCCATAGCTTCCCAAAAGGAAAGGAAACAAGGGATGATAGTTCTTCCTGAGCTTGCACAGCTCCTTGACCTTCTCATTTGGCTTAATTCTTAGTTACTTCAAAAAGAATTACAGTTTTTAAAAAACAACATTCCTGCATCTATCAAAAAAGTAAAACTCTAAACAGATATTTATTATTCAGTTACATTTGGTTTTCATTGCACAAATTTGGTTTTTATCCCCATTTTTTCACTTTTTTTTTTTTTTTACAAAGACTTTTTTTTTTACAAGGACTTTAAGAAATTGCTGAAGTGATCAATTAAGTCTATTTAGGCACTGTTCATTAACACACAAATCCATTTTCTCCACTTTTTTTCCTCTCTCTAAAAGATTTATGGTTACATTTCAGCTCCAAATTGAAACACGTTTCAAAGTCTACTCTTATACAGGCATGCCATCTAAAAGAAAAGGTTCTACTGAAGTTCTGATTAAGTAGTCTTTGCCCCTTTAAAGGTTGCCAGCAAAGCCTAAATGAAAGCAACTTCTATTCTGTAAATCAACAAAACTCTAAGCTGAGAGCCACGGTGGCTGAGCAGTTTCTACGCTATCCAGAGCACGAACAAAGAAACAATTTGCAAGAGAACATAAAAATCCCTTGGGAAAAAAACTGCTTTATCTTGGAAATAATTTAAATAATTTATTCTGTATGAAAAATAAGCAAAAACAAGGCAGTGCAGAAAACACATATGGTGTCAGGGAAACTGCCATATCGCATGGACTGCTGAGGTTGTGTCAAATGATCTGATAAGGATCCCTTGAAAACCAAAGAGTGTTTCTGTCACATCACTGTGGCTACACTCTGTGATAATGGCTTTGAAGTTTGAAGCTGACGGCCTGTTTGACATAGCTAAAAAAATCACAGGCTTCTCAATTTCTTTCTTACTCATCTATTCCTATCGGTGAGAAAGCCTGACCACTACTGGCCTTGTAAGATTCATGCACTGCTTTAAAGCTTTGTATCTGGGGAGAGCTGCTTTTGCAGGTAACTCTGTATGGCAGAGTGATCCCACGGTTCAGGAAAGTCCATTTTGAAATGAGCTGAAGTTTGTTTCAACAACAACTTTGCTATTAATATATTACTATCCCCTTATTTTTTACAAAAAAAGCGAAGCGTTAAATAAGTGACTGGTGCTAAATGGCTTTTCCTGAATGACTATCCCCTCTCTGTAGTGTCACAGAGAACTCGTTTAGAAGGAAACAAAAATGTGACCTTTTAGCACCCAAATATGCTGTTGCTACGTAGAAATGCACGATACAGACATTTTTGAAAGCTGGGTGAAGTCTCTGCAGTAGAGCAAAAGGCATGCTGAAGTCTTTCTGTGATTCTCATATACGAGCGTTTAGCGCTCATGAGCTCACTGCTGGCTACCGCTTTCAGCAGTAACCAGATAGGAATCTGGCACGAGCACAGGCAGTGCACAGCTCTTAGTCCCCTTGCTAAGAAGCCCTCTTTGGAGGGGCTTCAGTCTACACAGATTATTTTAAGCCTCTTGGAAAACATCAGGCTTCAGAGAAACCTACATGCATCGCAACAGATTTGTATAGATAGAGGTTAAACAGTGGTTGCTTGTTCTGCTGGGTTAGGACATCTCTGTGACCTCGGCATTTAGGGCTGCAAGCACTCTCCCCTCGTGTCATGTCCCTACCCCCGGGCAAGGCAGCATGCTGGAAAGCCGGGCACTGACAAGCATGGCCACAGGGCAGCGGGAAGAGACGCCGATATCTGGGCCTGAAGGAAGGAGCAGCCGTGGGCACAAGGACGTGCCATAACCCAACACCCAGGGAGGGTTGTTCGGGGCTGTCCCCTGGTCCCGCGGTGGGTAGCACCGTTGCTGAGGGCTGCAGCGGGCAGGGGATCCAACATCCCTCCTGCTGCTTTTAACCCTTCCCAGCAACCCTCCTACAGCTCCCTGGGCCAAGACTGTGCAGCTTTTGCTGTTATCCCCATGTGCCTGACGAGCGCCGCAGGGCCACCGCCAGGGGTGACCACAGCTGGGCTTTGGCAGAAGGAGAAGAGCTCTGTCGGGAAACAAGGCCACTGACTTGGAGGACCCGGAGACCGCTGCTGCGCCTGCAGCTTCTCCAGTGGGAACCAGCCCAGTAAAGCAGGGCCTCCAAAAAGACCGACTCTCCTTTTATCACCAAAAGTGCTGGGGAGAATGACCCCCAGCACTAGGCTGGGGCAGTCAGGGCTTTGCCCAAACACGTGCAAGGTCGGGTGATGAGGCAAGAAGGGTGCGTGAGGACCGCTTTGGAGCCAGAGCTGCTGCCGAAGCTCAGCTGCAGGGTCGTCTTGCAGGGCAGGCAGACAGTGGCCACGGGAGCTGTGTTCCTGGGTCTAGGGATGGGGGAAAAAAGCTGCGTCCACTCCTCCATCCTCACAGATGGGCAGTAAAACAGGTTGTGGTCCTCGAGCTTATCTGGTGGCTTCCTCAGGACCAGAAAAGCAAGATTTTGCAAAGTCTCCACTACCATTAACACTTGAGCTTCCGACATGAGTGGACAGGCAAGCAAAAGGGAGCCTGAAGAAGTGCAGCAAGTCTGTCAGTAACTGCCTGCTGATGATTGGGGAAATGTGACCACCGTGAGCCAGGAAAGCACTGCTGCCTGAAACATAAGTCTTGCCGCAGCAAAAAAACTAAAAAGAGTCTCCGCAGGAACTGGAGTCAGCTGCAGTTGCCAGCGGTACAAGGGCTGCAGGCCACTGCCCTCAGTACCTGCGTGCGTCCTTGCAGACGTTTCTGAGCTCCAGCTCCAGCTGTTTAATTTGGACATCTCTCTGGTTTACCAGCTCACGTAGTCTCCGGATTTCTTCCTGTTGTCGGTAAAACATCTGCAAGAGCTGTAACAAAAGTCACACTTTATTTCCCTGGCACTGAGAAAACACAGACTTATCCTGTCAAACACAACCAGTCCTGTCACATCACTTCTGGAAGGAGCAGCCTCTAAAGGAGGATCTTCCTCTAACAGACTGGCCATCAGCACTGCTCCTACTGACCGCTAGCTTGGGCTGCACATGGGGGTCTTTCTCAACACCATTCGGTAAAGCCACATCCCTCAACCCAGCAGAAAGGAACAGGGAAAAGGGTCTTCATGCCACTGATGGCTCAGAGACTGGACACACAAAATCCAAAGCCTGAATTCCTTAGTCTGCCACATCCCCCACTGTGACCTTGGGCAAGTCTCTTTGTCTCTTAGGGCCTCCTTTTTCCTTCTGATCATGCTTTCTCCTCTCCAGCTG